CATGGTTACCAGCTACCTTTTTTTTTTTTTTGTACCAGGAATCAAACTCGGGACCTCACGCTTTCAAGGCAGGTGGTGCCACCACTGAGCTAAATCCCTGGCCCTTACCAGCCACTTTTCAATCTTTAGATATCTAACTCAACTACTTCATGGAGCACTTGGGCCAACTTTGTCCAGCTGAGAAAGCAGGACTACTGAGTGGCGGAGAGAGAATCACCCTCCAGTACATTCTGCAGTCCACCTACTCTGAGGAAGAAGAAAAATGTCAGTGACTTGAGGCAATGTTCTCCAAATAATCAGTGAACAAAATAGTTTAGAGTGTATGAACCTGACTGATTTTTTAAAATCACAGGTAAGTTTGCCTCATGGCCATGGTCAGATTATCAGTGATTTGTGTAATCCTCTTTGTACTTTCCTTTTCCCATATCTTCCAGATTTTCCACGATAAATATTTTCCTTATTTTATAATCATAAAAATACCCAATGTACGTCACAAAAGAACGGGGTCAGGTCCCAGCAGTGCCCGTAGACTGAGGAAGTTTCCAACACTTGAGCCGTTGGGAGACAAGCCACATTCAAATCCTGGGTCCAGTCCCACTTGTGCCTCTCACCAGATGCCTAGGGCCAGGGGAAAGAGGCCTCCTTCTGCTGGGACTCAGTTTCCTCACCTGTTTAAAGGGAAAATAGCCATCAAGGCTGCTCCCCACTTCTCTCTTGAGGAGCCACTTTGCCCCTCTTGGCTCACTTTATTGTACTTTTTGTGTGTGTGACAGGATCTCACTATGTAGTCCAGGCTGGTCTCGAACTCACGATCCTCCTGCCTCCTACCTCCCAAGTGCTGGGATTATAGGCATGTACCACTGTGCCCAGTGACTGACTCTACTTCTGACCTGCTTCTGCTAAGCACGCTTGGCTGCTGAGAACCAAGTGGTTTCATCTGGTCCCCAGGACCTGAGGCTGGTCTCCACATTGACTTCACTTGGGCATCAAGACCACCATGAAAGGTGAGCAGGGGAGAGAGGCTGGTCCCTATAAAGAGACCAGGAAACTGTTCCTCTTTCCCTCTGAGGGAGCCCGCCACCATGTTGTGTGGACACTCAAGCAGTCTTCTGGGGAGGCCATCTGAGGCAGAGCTGAGGCCTCCCAATAGCCTCCACTGACTCATTAGATGCCTGAGACATCTTGGAAGCAGATCTTGCAGTCCCATCAAAGCCTTCTTGGGCTGCAGCTCTGGCCACATATTGGCTGAAAGCTCATAAGCCACCAGAACTTTCCACATAAATCCTGGCCACAGAAAACTGTGGGAGATAACATACGTTCCTTGCGAGGTGTGGTGGTTGAGGCAGGAAGATTGTTGGGAATTTGAGGCCATCTTGAGCTACATAGTGATTCCAAGGCCAGCCTGAACGACAAAGTGAGACCATGTCTCAGTAAAATAAAATAAAATAAAATAAAATAAAATAAAATAAAATAAAACAGCTCTGTTTTAGAATACAATGGCTCTGTCCTCAGATTCCACTTCTGTCATTCATTCAATTGTGGTGGATCAAAAATATTGGAAAAAATAAATTGTATCTGTATTGAACATGTACAGACGTTCCTTGTCATTATTCCCTAAGAAATACAGTATAATAACCATATCACACTTACATTGTCTTAGCTTTCATAAGTCATCTTCAGATGATGTAAAGTGTATGGATGTGGATAGGTTGTATGCAAATACTGTGCCATTTTATAAGAGGCACCTGATTGCTTATGTTTTGTTTTGTTTTGTTTTTGGTACTGGGGATCGAACTCAAGACCTTGCACTTTCGAGGCAGGCGGCAGAACCACTGAGCTAAATCCCCGGCCCTCGCCTATGTTTTTGATATCCTGGTCTGGGAACCATTCCTTGCAGATGCTAAGGTCGACTCTAATTAGTTACTCGCCACACACACTTGCCACACAGGCTTCTCATGTGCCCCTGGCCCTCACCCCAACCACCTTTTACCTCAGCTGGAGCCAGCGAAGGAGGAAGAAGTCATCAGGGCTGGGCAGGGCGGACCTCACATCCTGGATGTTAGCTGGGCACTGTGAACGGAGTAGAAAGAGGCTCTGCTGTGGTCCTGAGGCCATCAGGGGTCTGGCTAGCCGTCCTCAAGCCTGCAGGCTTCACCTGGCCTTGGGGAAGGGGATGTTGGAGTGAAGAGGGCCCACTGAGGCAGGGAGAGCCGGGGACCGGGCCAAGTTGGGGCTGTTCCTTTGCTGCTTCCAGGAAATGGAATAATAATGAGCCAGCTGCACAACCTTCTAAGAGGATTAAATATGGATGAAAGGTAGAGAGGACTAATGAAACTGACACTTCTCCCAGGGGTGTGGGGACAGGCAATGGCCCTCTCCATAGCCTTGATGTTTATCCTCAAGTGATCTCCAGGCCAAGCCAGATGAAAGAGTAAGCTGTAGGGAGTCTGAGGCTCAGAGAGGTTACGCAACTTGCCCAGGGTCACAGTCAGTGAGTGGCAAAGCCAGCAGGAAAATCACAAATTGGGGCCAGAGCCCATTATCTAGGCCGAAGTGAGAAGTGGCTTGGCCTGGCTTCAGAGTCCCCAGGAGTTGGCTGGGACAGTTCAGCTGGCCCCAGGAGCGCCATGGAGGGTCTGGGGGCTGAAGTGCTGCTCCTGGGTGGGGGCTCTTACCCGCACTGTGGGCTACAGCCAGACTCCAACACTGCTGAACCCGAAGTGGAAAGAGCGCAGGACAGGGCATGCTGTCCCCAAGTGTCCTTGTCTGAGTCATTTCCCCTCTTTCTGAGCCTCTATCATCTTGTCTTCCAAAGGGGGCCATGAAGGACTTTCTCTATCTCCCCCAAACAAACTGATAACCTTTATCTTTAGGAATATGAAAGAGTGTTTCTGACCCTGGGCCGAGCAATCAATTAATCCGGACATGGTGGTGTTGCTACATCTGTTCCCTGAGGCTGAAAATAGTGATGTTACTTGCTTAGGTAAGAAGAGCAATTCTTGACTCCAGTAGTCTTCCTTCTTTCCTTCCTTCCTTTCTTTCTTTCTTTCTGTCTTTCTCTTTCTCTCTTTCTCTCTTTCTTTCCTTCCAGCTTGGAATACACAGGGAGACCCAGTCTAAAATAAAATTGTTTCACTTGTTGCCTTTTAGTTTTTAATGTGACTAGGAGAAAATTTAGTGACATGCATGTCTTGCATGTGTGATTTGTGTGACATTTCCATTGGTTAGCCTTACAGTTGCCTCTGGCCACGAAGGCTGTAGGAGTTAAGAAGAGACCCAGAGCTGCAGAGGGACCTTAGGGGCCTTAGGTCCTGTCCCTCATGGGCAGAAAGAGAAACTGAGGCTGGTGTCCGGCTGTCCCTGCCGCCACTCACCTGGGCCAGTGACTTCTCCTGGGATGGGCTCAGGTCACCCACTTGTGCACTCACGCTGCTTACGGGGTCAGGGATGGGATCCAGCTCACTGCTCTTGGGTCTAAGCCTGCTCTGTGGCTCCTTCCAGCCTGCGTGCCTTTTGCCCAGCTGACAGCCCCACCCACACCTACTTCTGTGCAGAAGACCTGCCTCTTCCTATTGGGCTTCAAGTCCCCACCCGAGGGTGATTGACAGGGCCCATTCCTCACTAGGGGCCCAAGGCACTGGTCCCTGGGCGCTAATCCTCATTTGTAAAACAAGCAGTCTCACCTGCCTCACCACACTGATGTGGGCACGGCAAAATGGACACCACCTGTTTTCACCCACGTGGAGCTACTCTCCACCCTACCTCTCAGTCCCTTGTCGCCGACTTCTGTGGTCCCATTAGATGCCTCCTTAAGACAAGTCAGGCCACCTCCCACAGCAGCAAAGTCCTGGAAGTCACTGTCATCACATAGAATGGGATCAAAATATATGGCGAATGTTTAAGTTTTTAAAAAGTTAGCACGGTAGAAAGACACATTATCATTAATCCCCCTCAAAAATAACCCCCTTACTCTGAAAACTCTTTTTCCCGTGGTTCTTGCTACTTTCTGGAACAGTTCTGGACGTTCTCTTTTGTGAGGGTTCTTTACAAGAAGTGATCAAAAATATGCTGGAAACTGCTGCTGTGTGTCACCTAACGGAAAGCTAAGCTTGTAAAAGCATTACAGTGTGTCCTTGTCCACCTTCTTCATGGGATCTGGCACAGTGGGATTCGGGGCTCTTCTCAAAGTCAAAATGACCAAGACATGTAAACACTGACTTGATTCAGGACACCCAGACGGCTACACGAGTACTCTGGAGACGTTCAGGAAAGAGGACTTTCAGAACTGCTTCAGAGAGTGGCAAGGACTATTGGATAAATGTGTTCAAAGCAAGGGGAAGTATTCTGAGGGAGATGAATGGCAATATGTCTTTTACTGTTAATGAATTTTGAAAAATGGAAACATTCATCCGATTTTTGTGTCATACCTTGTACTCCAACATGGCCCGGGTTCTATCTAACACCGGATGGATCCAGAGCAACCGCCCATGATTCATCACAGCTGCTGGGGCACCTGGCTTCAGTGTTGGGGAAGACTCTTCCCAGGCCCAGACCCAAGCAGGTGAACGTGAGACTCTGAGCTGAACCACATCTGCCTGGAGGCCTGGACGAGAGGTGAGGGGAACTCCTGCCTCATCTGCCCCACCTCCCTTGGGATCACTCACTATGTGTGCCCGGGGCCCGACGCACACTGGGACTTGACTTAGGCTGGTTGCCCACAGAAAGACCCTGAGACAAGGGGTCCGGGTCAAGGAGTTTATTTGGGAGGTAAGTCCGGGAAATGGAAGTAAGAAAGTGAGGAATTGAGACAAAGAATGAGAGGTGGTTGTACTTGAGGATTAGCAAAGAAGGAAAGGGCTCAGTCCCAGTGGGGGCTTGTGGGAGCCGGTGTGGAACGTGCCTCTCAGAGCTTTTTTGCCTTAGGGGAGCAGAAACTATGGTATCAATATTCCAGCTCTGGACAGGCCTGGGTTGAGTGTTACCCCACGGGCTGCCACTTTGGGCCTCCAGTGCATCAAACTGCTGCTGGAGCAAGGCCTGGGACGGAGAAACACACAAACCATAGCTGGAAGCAACAAGGTTGGGGGGAAAAGGGCAGGGCAGCTTTGGCACTAAATAGGATCCAGTTAGTGGGCTCCTTGTCAGGTTCTAGGCCAAAAGCTTCATGGGCTCTTTCGGCCTCAGACTATTCCTCCCTATCTGACAGAGCCCGGAGAAGCAAACGGTGAGCCTGAGCCATACAGCAGCTGACTGACTAGGGAGACCGTCTGGTCCTGGCACTTACTCGGAACACCGTATCCCAGGCACTGGCACCAGGCCAAGGAAGCATTTAGGAGGCAAATCTGCATCTCCTGCAGGACGTGGCTTTCCTAGCACCCTACAGACCCAGAGGCTGGAATGTAGCCACAGGGGACAAGTTCAGGGACTGCCCCCTGCTCCCGCTTTGGTCCAAGATCCTGGCTCCTCCACCTGGGTCTTCAACCCCAGCACCTTTGGCCCATCTTCTACTTCGTGTCTTTACTCTATTTGAATTTATTTAGTGTTGAATTTACTCCTGTGCTCTAATTTTTGCTTCTTCTGCTTCCAGGGTGTCTTTTTCTTCTGCACAACCTTCTCTTTTCAGAGGTTCAGAGACGATTTCGGTAAAGTTCATCTCATTGTGGCATGGGGAGCTCACGTGTGGGTTACTCTGAACGCGAACATGATAAATACGGTACATCTCAGCTGCTCTTCTCACTCGGATGTGTTCGTTATCCAGAGAATTTACATCAAAACCCTGAAGTTCAGCACATTACTCTGCCTTTTGAAGCACATGTGGCAGAAATTTAGCACTTTTGTTGGCCATCAACCATGTCCGGTCCTCTTGCTTTCGTCTCCACACGCCTACCAATGCCACCGTTGTGACCATGGCACAGTGGCCCCTCCCCTTGAAACCGGCCCCTGAGTATGTCCCTTCCTTGCTCCAGTGCTTCCCATGGCTCCTTGTTACCCTCAGGAGAAACTGCAGACCCCTTCGCAGTCTGGGCCCCTTGCCTCTCTCCTCCTGTCCCTTCCCAGGTTTGCTTCTGCTACTCTGTTGCCCTGGAGGAACCTTTCTTTCTTTTTCTTTTTTTTTTCTTTTTTTCTTTTTCATTTTGGTACCGGGGATTGAAGTCGGGTCCTCGTGCTTGCGGGGCAGGTAGGTGCTGGAAGCACTGAGCTAAATCCCCGGCCCTGGAAGAACCTTTCTTGAAACACCTGCATCCCGTGATTGTCTCAAGGATGTTTCAGATGCAAGGCACTTTCTGGTAGGTTTCCTTTGCTGGGAAGTGAAATCCCACACCCCACTCTCATCTCCCTTCTGCCCGGCTGCTGTGATCATGTCACTGGTCCCCAACGTGGGCGCTGAGGATCTGCTTCATTGTTTGCACCCCCACTCCGTTACTCACCGTGGTGCACTACTGTACGCTGTCGGTGTTCAAGAAGAGGTTCACAGCCAGGTTAGCAAGGGCAGCTGCAAAGGACTCCCTTCCTTTCTGGCTTCCCTGTCTCTCCCTGGTGTCCCTGGATAGTTCCCGACCTGCCTGTGGGCTTCTCACTCTCTAAGCAAACGTCACCTCCTGCTTCCACCCATTCCTGGCAAAACTGCCTGGCCTGAGTCCCGTCCCACAGAATCCTCACTCAGTGCCTTCATTCCAGCACATGCGCATGCTGGTGAATGTGTTACCTTCCCAGGGACATGGTGCCCTGGTCGGTTACAAGTATGCTGTGGAAGCCCTCAAAGGCGGAGATACCGCTCTCTCTCCCCCGTCTTCTCTATTCCTCTTCCTTCCTCCCTCTCTTCCTCCCTCGCATTCTCTCTCCCTCCCTCTCTCTCTCCCTTGCTCTCTCCTCTTTCTTCCCGCCTTCCTTCCCGCCTTCCTTCCGTCCCTCCCCGTTTCTCCATCCTTTCTTCCTTCCTTGTATTTTCTGACACATAGTAAAAACTTACTGTATGCCTGCCGTTAGAGGGCAGTTGTGCCAAGAGGACCTGCTCTCGGTCCTGGCGATGTCTACTGTTGAGGGCTCAAAGATATGCAAATCCATACTTGCATCCTGGATGAGCAAAGCTAAGATGGGGAATCTCAGGCAGATGTGGGAGCCCAGAGGCCTTAAACAGCCACGACACCCCTGGATTTCACGCAACAGGCTGCCAGATGCCTGGCCATCTCCAGCACCCAGCACGCAGCCAGGAATGTCAGGGCTGGAGACCAAACTCAGCACCGTGGCGCCCTCTGCTGCCCAGATACTGCAAAAGCAGCCTGGCTTCAGGTGACAAGCAGGGAAGCCCCTTAGAGACTGGTGGGGTTGGGTTGGGTTGGTTGTTTGGTTGTTTGTTGAGACAGGGTCTTGCTACATAGTTCAAACTGTCCTTGAACTCACTATATAGGCAGGCTGACCTCAAATTTGCAGCAACCCTCCTGCCTCAGCCTCCCAAGTGCAGGGATTACAGGCATGCACCACCATACCCTGCTGAGACTGGTTATTTTTTAGCTGAGAAAAGGACAGGGGTTTGGGGGCAGTGAAGGCCAACTGGAATGGTGCCAAGGCCTCGAGACCTGGCCTTGACAGCAGACCAACTCCTCTGTGGTTGCTTGGCTCTGAGACCCTGGGCTGGTCGCTCAGCCCTCTTGATCCTCAGTTCTCCCTTGAGAAAGTAAAGGGGATGTGATGCCCACATTCTCACACGGCACAGAGCTGAGAACAGAGTGGTTGCCCCGTGCCTGCCAACTACTTATTTAAAATATTAATTATATTTATAAACGACCCAATAATTGTAATGCTCTTAGAACTAACCAGGCAGACAGTAAATTCCAATGAAGTAATTTATATTCTTGACACCTGCTATCTGCCAGATTTATTCCTGGATCCCGATGGGCCTAGAAACGCCAATAGCAAGAATAATACATAATGTAGTAGCGTGTAATAATGTTACCATTGGCATTTCTAGGCTCTTTGGGGTCTAAGGAGATATAATTATGAGGTTCCTTACATCTAAAATACTATCATACTGAACATTAAGTGACTGACATCTATCTTTATTTATTTAAAAATTGTTTTGCTTCTTTTGAGACAGGGTTTCACTATGTAGTTCAGAGAATTCTCTTGAATATCCAGAGACTCTTCCTGCCTCAGCTTCCCAAGCACTGGGTTTGCAGGCATGCACCACCACACCCGGCAACATCTATCTCTAATTAATAAAGGGGGGAAGCATTATCTCATAGATTTGGGGACAGTAACAGTTTTTCCTATGCAGAGTCTTAGCTTTTGCTGTTTTTGTTGTTGTTTTGCTTGCTTTTTCCATATGATTTAAGCAAAGGCTTCAAGGGTGTGCCACATTATTTCATTAGAACATGAAAGGTGCAGACAGGGAGGCTCCGGGCTGTTGGTGAGGTCCAACTCGCTGCCTAGGACTGAGGAGTTTTCTGGAATGTAGGCCTTGCAGTGTTGAAACCAGGACAAAAGTGGGACAGTTGGTCACCTTAACTCCTCCCCACCCTGCTCGGGCAGAAATTCATTCCCAGGAGGCAGGATGAGCCCGACCCAGTGAGGGGTGAAGAGCTGAGTGATGTCAATTTGAGTTCTGGCTTTGGCACTAATTGGCCATGTGACTTTGGGGAGGTCACGACCTCTCTGAGCTTTGGCCTCTAAAGCTGGGAGGTTGTAGTAGTGAGATATGGTCTTTGAGCACTTGGTCTAGAGCCTGGCACCAAGAGATCCTCAGTAAACTAACTTGGCTGTGGCTTCTGCCATTTAGGCCTAGATGCTGCTCCTAGTTGGAAGCCTGAGAGTTCTGTGGCCTCAAAAGGGTCCCTGCTTCCCTGGGGATGTTGAAGGAGGCAGGCAGTTGGAGCCAGGATGTGCCCACCCTGGTTAGCCACAACTGACCGTGTTTGGCTGCTCGGTGGCTGTCTTTACCTCTGGACATGAGCTCCAGAGGGGCCAGACCAATCTGTTGACTGCTGCATGCTCAGGGGCAGCTCAGGGCTGGGGACACAACTGATATTGAGTGGGTACCAAATTTTTTTTAATTAAATGAACCCCAGGGTGGAGGGGGTGGTATATAAAGCGGGCTGGGGTTGGCTGCAGAAGTGGGTGTGGGGAGGGCCTGGGATGTAGCTCAGTGGCACCCTGCCTGCCTGGCAAGTGCAAGGTCCTGAGTTTGATTCCCAGTACCAAAAAAAAAGTGAGGGTAGGGGAACAGGGTTTGCTGGAAGCTGGAAGCCAGGGAAGGGCCAGCTGTGATGGGGTGAACAGGCACTGAAGATAGGAAGGATCTGTGGTCTCTGGGAGATGATTTGAGCCTTGGGTCTGATGCATCCTCAACATGACCTGGGCAAGTCCCTTCGCCTCTTAGGATGTCAGGTACACCTATAAAGTGGACCCTGTCTACCTCAAAGGATTGGTGTGAGGATTAATAAGACAGTGTAAGAAGCCCTTGGGCTAGACCCAGGGCGTGCAGCCCAGTGCCCCACCGAATGCTCCCCACCTCCCCGTTCCACATACACACATACTTTTTTAGACTCTGTCCTGATCTGCCCACACTTTCCACCCACCAGATCCCTGCTCCAATCCTACTACTTACTGTGTGATCTTGGCCCAGTGATTTTCCCTCTCTGAGCTCCCTTTTGCATTTCTAGTATAAGATAACAAAAAGCCGGTGAGTATTGGTGAGGATCAGTTGAAACTCCCACAAAGCACTGATCTAGTGCTAGGCATGGAACCCATACAGGGCGGGGGGGGG